AAATCTCTATGAACAATCTATAAAAATATTACGGTTATAGCATAAATTTCTAAACATGTAAATTTATTGCTTGGCAAATTAATAATAAATATCGATATACCAATTCAGCAATATATCATTACAATGCTGAAGATAATGCATCAGTATAACCTCCATTAGAAATAACTTCAGCTGCATGATTTGGGATACTGTTGACTAAATTCATGAAAATCGATGATCTAGCCTTTCCTATTCCTCTAAAAGCGTTGTCTTCAATTTTTCATATGTTCTTGTGGGTGGTCTTCGTTGCTGTATTCTATGTATCTTTTAGCATATTCCATATGCGCTTTTTGTGTAACCGGGATATACTTTCTGAGGGTACTGTACATACGCATGTTCGTAGAGTACTCACACCATATCATATTATAGTGCAATAGTGCTGTATTATATTATAATATTTATTATGGCATTACGGCAATCAGGTACTGTGCCGTAATTAATTTTACCAACTGGTAAAATGCCGTAATTCAGTAATTCTACCACCAACTATAATAGTACGGATTCTAAAATTCGACCTGTACCATACTGATCTGCTCACCTATACCATACTGATTTGCAAAACACTTCACACTCCTGATAACTTTTGAATCAGAAGTGTGAAATAAAATTTATCCATATCTGTATCTTGATGTTTGATCTGTATAAAATCACGTGATTGTTTGTATCACGCTATCCGTTGTTCTACAACGAGTTGAAACACCTAGTTTTATAAAGGTTAGAAGTTACCACTGATGATTTGATAAAATATTAGAAAACGAGTTTAGTATCGTTTACTGCAAATTTGTCAAAAGAACTAGAATATATGCAGTCTTCGTAGTGATCATTATAACTTTGCCATAACTGTCTTTTATCGTAATGGTTCAGAAAGTATGTAGCTTTATAATCCAAGTTATATTGTTTATTAAGTGAAGTAGTCTAATAACTGCTAAATTACGTGCATTTGAATATTTGAATTTAGTGCTTTGGTTGAATAATCCTAAATATTTCGCTCAGATCAAGTTATTTCATGCCGACGAAATATTCTTAGACTTTGAAAAGTACCAAGTTGCTGCGGTATATAATATATATATGGGGCGCAATCAATTTGAAAAGTACTGTGGTATACAGTCGTCCCTCTATATAGTCACCTCCCATATAATCACACCATATGTAATCACATTTATGTTTAGACCAAACTATGATTTAATTTATAAGAAAAAGACCTCTATATAAGCACATTTTGAAAAAATTTGCTATGTGCCCAACTGTGTGATTGTATGGGAGGACGACTGTATATGGGGCGCAATCAATTAAGGTTTATGGCTTTAATTTAGTGTAACAACAATGATGATCTATTATTAGCATAACCTGTTTGATCTACATGAATTAGCCAATCATGCAAGCTCTTTTCAACAAGCTAATTTCTAAAATCTAATTTTAGATCACTTCAATTTTATTATGTAAATCGATGCTTTAAAATGCTAAATTACGTATATAGTTGAATGCATGCTTTATTTGATAGTATTGTTAACTCATTTTTGCAAAAAATGCCATAAGCCTTGTTTTAATTGACCGCTCCCCATATATAAAATTTTGATTTGTAAACTATACGTATACCAAAATCACCGTTCTTTATTGCCTGTTACTGTATATTTAATTTATAAAAGTCACAGGAACAAAATGATAAATGAAATTTGAATAGAGAATAATATATTTAAAATGAATGTTAGACACGCAGTATTGTTACCAAGATCTACCGATTTGCATGTTTTCATCCTAGGGAATTCAACTCCGATAATGTCAAATAGAGACTAGAAAAGCATGGTTTGAAGTGGAAAATTATAGGATGAGAATTTATTCTGTGTACGTATAAAAATATTTAATAAATCCTAAATTTAGAATGTATTATTACGAATTACGTATCGGATAATTTTAATTTTGAACCTTATTTTCATCTGTCTGAATCATATGTAGTAACTTTTTAGAATTACGAATGAATATTAGAATTTCACCAATATTAAAAGGGAATGAATTATCCGATTTTTTTATTGCATAAAAAAATACTAGTTAGGAAAATTTTATGATTCATATGAAACTTGTAACGAAGTGAAAAAAAAAACATTCCGTAGCACAGTTAACGTAACGCAATTCGTTAATCTTTTTATATTATCTATCAAAATTAGGATATTGATGATTGTTATACGTATTCATTATACAGTATGTTTGTACGTATTAGGTTACCATTACGCATAATTCCCAAATTTGACATATTTGATTAATAACACCAACATTTTAATTGGAAATAAAACCGTACTAGGGTGAACCAGTTTTCATAACTGGATGTAATACGGAACAATTACTACACGACGAAGGTTTCTCGGCCGATATTGCACATAGACATCGTGCAAATATTTATGCGAAAGGTTCATGTCAAAGGTCACACGATGCTTTCATTCGAGCTTCATTCGAGCTTCATTCAATCTTCATTGTGAGATTGCAGTTAAAAAATTAGCTTTGCTTAAATGAAAATTTGGAATTTTATACAATATATAGATTACGTAACGAGTCAAAAGTTTTTCATGCATAAATTAAGATTTTATTTTATTTTTCGGATATACCTGCCAAAGGTTTTATTATACATTGTACAGAGATAATCAATTATTACAAAAAGTAATTGAGCAAAAGAATGGCTTATTGAAGGCTTAAAAGAGGATTTGTAAAAAAAAAAGAAAAATCTTTTAATAGGTACAATTATTCAACTGCTATATTAGGTTAATTAGAGTTACCTCACCAATCAACAAAAATTACGTGATTTTTGTTAATATTGTTTTACGAATTACGCATAATATCGATATATATCGATATGTGAAACCAAATTACTATTAATAAATTACTATTAATAAATGAATAATACTTTTACGTAGCAAATTGATTAACATACTGTAACAGTAATCATATATCAGATATCGATATGTACTGCGTACTTTTACGTACGTACGTAATGTTTAATGACCCCTTAGACGAAGTTATAAAGATAAAGACAAACGTCAAATATAAATGTCGAATATAAATGTCACAGTTTATATGCACATGACTAAGAAATGTGGAAAAACACAACTCCGTGTAAGTCTGCAAATAATCTTAAGGGAGTTAAATTCCGGACATATATATTAACTTTAAGTGTTATATAAAATAAACTTTCATGTGGTACTATATTGGCCTTTTTGAGCTAACGCCAATTAATTACCATTTGCCAAATATATACGTTTATTATATTTGTTTCAAATCAAAAAAAGTTTAAGCTCTACCTGTCGTGACCACTTTTTCGACAAGTAAGACAAGTCATATATCGAATTGTATAATTGTATATATATAAACATATCTTTTCATGTTTTGGTTTTCTCGATTTTCTTTTTTTTTTTATGATTTAATGTTTTAATATTGTAGTCCGGTTAATTCCGTCGCAACCTTTCTTTTTATTTTTTATGTTACTCGATTTTTTTCATTTTCATTGAGAAATTCGCTTGATTCTTGGCTTAGTTACACTTGAATAAACGCTTAGTAATGTATGAACATTTGAATTTCCATAAACTCTTACCCAATTTTTTAAAAAATCGACCTAATAATTCTGTGAACACAAGCCAATCTACTCGACCAATAAATGATGATGATACAAAAATAAAGAAAAAGTTTTCCTTACGTCAAGGCTTCAAAAAGGCCCCCATGTATATCAAGAATCGTGCAAGGTATTGCAAATCGTTACATATTTAATTCCAAATTAATCCCGTAAATGAATATAATATCAGATATATAAATGAAATACGTATTATTAGATCATGATATATCATGATATCGATGAAAAATTATATAAAGCATGCAAAGAATTTTTTTTTCTGCAGTTTTCACAAAAGTTGCTTACCATAACAAGTTATCGTAACGAAACAAATATTAACTAATTCTTGCATGCTACTTGATTGGTGCGCTACATACGTACACACTTTAACTTACACGTAAACATTAGACTTCTAGAAATTATTAAAATTATTAAAATTATTAAAATTTATTAAAATTTATTAAAATTTATTAAAATTTATTAGATATTCCATTTCATTCATATTTATTTCTATTTATTTTATACTACTTCTAACACAAAAACGTTTAGTTAAATTTTTCGATTCAAAATATTTATTTGAAAATCTTTAATTCAAAAATCTTAAGAACAATATAATTTTTCTTTTAACATGTCTAGAATGACAATGCAAAAAATCCTTAATCGTACCAAAGGCGGAGAATCCACATACCCCTGGGATTTAGAAAAGAACTATACCATTTCTAGTGTTCTCGGTCAAGGTTCTTTTGCTGTGGTTCGAAAATGTACCGATAAGCGAACCAATGTTGATTATGCACTAAAGATAATTTCAAAAGATGTTATTAAAGGTTACCATCACATCACATGTCACGTGTCATTTTCTTATCGTCGTTATTGTCGCTAAAATATTTTTTGTATTTAATATTTACATAGGAAAAGAACAAATGTTAACTACAGAACTAGATGTTCTGAAACAGGTCAACCATCCACATTTAGTAACCCTACATGAGTTAGTTGAAACCAAAGATAATGTATATATTATCACCGACCTTGCTAGCGGTGGTGAATTGTATAGTCAACTTGAGCAAAGAGGAAATTATACAGAAAAAGATGCTGCTCACCTTGTAGAGCAAGTGCTCAAAGGTGTTATTTACCTACATGATCACGATGTATGTTCACATTTTATTAATACTTTTAAACCATTTTTAAAATATTTTTAAAATATTTTTAAAATATTTATTAATATTTATTAATATTTACTAATAATATTTTTATAGATTGTTCATAGAGATTTGAAACCGGAAAATCTTTTGTTCAGCGATGCAACATCTCCAAATCCCAAATTAATGATTACTGACTTTGGCCTTTCGAAAATCCTAAAACATCACGACGATATATTAATGACTGCGTGCGGTACACCGGGCTACGTTGCACCTGAGGTTTTAAGCCAAAAAGGGTTAGTTTCCCAAATTTCTTGATTTTTCGATTCATTGCAGCATTAATGTTAACGTTAACCGATTCTTTAATTTATCCAGTTATTCGAAACCGTGTGATATTTGGTCAATTGGTGTCATTCTTTACACTGTTCTTTGTGGATATACTCCATTTTGGGGTCATGATCAAGCTGCCTTATTTAATTGTATTTTGAAAGGACAATATGAATTCGATGAAGATTACTGGAATCATATAAGTAATGAAGGTAATATATCATTTAAAATAAATACTAAACTGTAAATAAATATATAATTATATATTGATTTTAAAATTCCTCATCTTTATCTTTTCAGCCAAGGATTTAATTAACAAGATGTTAACTTATAATCCGGATGAACGAATAACAGCCCATGATGCTTTAAAACATCCTTGGTTTGAATACGCTGCTAAATTGAATATTGATAGTAACCATCACACACGCTCGGAAACCGTTTCTTATCCTCGTGCCTCATTAAAGAAAGCCATTCACGTTATTCAAGGTGTAACTAAAATGCGGAGAATAAGTAAAACTCTTGTGAATAAGTACCATAATAGGTTTGATGATTATACAAATGGTGTTGGATACGCGACAAGTACTATCATTGAAGAAAATCCTAGTGTTTCTTCTCAACCAATAGGAAGTTCTGGCTTATTGGGAAACGATCTTCCTGTGGCTAGTTCCAACACTAAACCTATTTCTAAGTTGTCAATAACGAATCAAAATCAATCTACTGAGTTTTATATACATAGCAACAAATCTGATTTAGATATTGGACACTTAACTACTAATAACTCCGTATCATCTTCACGTCCATTTTCCATTTCCCCTACTAGTCCTACTGCAAGCAATTCTAGCAAACATGCTATAATAGTATGATTTTCATATATCTATATGAAACTCGGTCTGGACCGTTTCATTTTATACATAGTATTTTTTTATATAAATTATATTGATATGTTTTTATACGTATACGCGTACATATCGATATAAATAGCTGATCATATACATATAAATATATACATATATATGTTTTGATGTATGTATTTATATAGGTAAATCTTTAATGTATTTATATATATATATATAGTTTTTGTATATATTTATTTTGCTTGCTATACATATTTTCGTTTTTTTTTTTTTTGATTCTACATAAAAAAATTTTGAATTTTAAAGTTAATAAAATATTATGGAATTATTGGACGTATAAAAAAAAGGAATCTATTACGTATTTGTGTATATTTTGTTTCACATGTTCATCTACAATAATTTTTTTATTTGTAAATGACTTAAAATCATGACTGATTAATCATGATTTATTGAAAAACGGAATCGTTATTTACCGTTATCCGGCAAGCTCTTATGATCATAGATTTATTTCTTTTTGTTGTTTTTTGTGTCATGTCATAATAATCATACGCCAGGGTGAAACCCGCGCTGTGAATTAGTAAAATCTGCTACATAGATCACATAGATCACATAAATCACATAAGGGTGAAATTCGCTTTTACATAAAAAAAAACATACGTAGCTAAACACGGATTTCACCCTAACGTGATCTACTTACCGGATTTTACTAATTTACAACGAGGGTTTCACCTTGTAGTTCATACGTGAAGATCCAAGTCGGCCCGTGATCACTGGATCGGAATTGACCAATTTTGCCTAAAATCACGCTACGTATCTCTATGCGATTTTCCTGAAAAATAATTAATTTTACTTAATATTAATGTTAAGTAATTCGTATAAATTACTTTTGCTCATCTTTATTGTTCATTCACCTAACTATTGTTCGTTTGCTAAGTAAAAAAAATATCCGTTCCAGTGAATTCCGATACTAAATTTTGAAAATCAAAACTTCATTTTGAAAACTGAATTACCCACGAGAATCAAAACCTTCATTTTGAAAACTGAATTACCCACGAGTTCGGCGATCTATTTCAGGAGATATTGTATGCAATCACATCAGTATATAAACCTAAACAAGACAATTCTTCCTGAAAATAATTTATCTCAGTTTGAAAAATGAAGTATC